TTTTGTAATTGGGAAAGCCAAGACGTGAAGTTCGTAGCACCACAAATAGTGGCCAGGGCTTATCCTCTTCGGGATAATATCACCTCTTATATCCATCAAATCACTGAGATGTCCCATGTCATCAAAAGCTAAATATGAATGCTTAGAGACTTTGAAAAAGGAGTGGCCAATTTTGGACAATTGTTCCATAACACATCTGGACTATAAGCAAACTAAAATCATCTTTTCAAATTATTTGAAAAGAAGGACCTCTTTTCAAGTCCTGACCACTCCTTTAAAATTATATTGGTCATGACTTGATGAACTGGAAAAAACTCTTGGTTTTCTTTTGTTTTACCCCTGGTTGCATCTCTTCCTCCTGAATTTCCAAAGTATCGTAGTCAGCCCCCAAAAGGTCACCTATTTCTTTCAGTGAAAGTTTACTCTTTGTTGACTTGGAGACTTCAACCTGACCCTCGACTTGTTCTGACTCTGAGGCTGAAGAATGCAGGTCATCTAACTTAGGGATGAGTTATTTACTGCCCAAAGCTTCAGTAGAACTGGAAGCCGCCTAAGCAGGAGAAAAGGGAACTTGCTCAAACTGACTGGTAGATGCGGCTGGCACATTAACATCAGATTTATGCTTACTTAAGGCTTGAAAGGTGGAAAGCTACTTCTTCCTTAAAGGAACTAAGAAACTTTGCATAAGGGGGTTTAGCTTATGACTTTAATAAATTACCAATACACAGATGGCAGAGTGCTTTGTTAAGAAGAAATGAAGAGGGTAGATGCTGAATACCACCAAACTTTAGGTAGCAAAATCTCTCCCTCATTCAGTGACACAAACCAGAAAGGCCAGATGCCCATGAGAAAGCTAGGCATGTACTGCCAAGGAAACCCAGAAGACCAGCCATGAAACCAACCACCACCACCAAATGCACAGCTTAGCACTCTGCCATTATACCTGTGAACCACTGGTGCCTGTTCCCACCAACGTTCCTGAGGAGACAGCCTCCATAGAGTCTCCCTGCACTCCAGCACTTGCCACTTGTCAGCCCCTGCTCATGGTGTCCAGGAAAAAGTATGTGTCCCGTCATCCACCAAGGGATTGTTGCTGCTGCCCACCTGGGAGTCCCCCAACTGGTTCAGAAAAGAGCATGCATATTTAAGCATTTTTTACACGGGTAGCAATTCTTGTAGGTTAAATTAATCGATTGTGTAACTACACTATCTGGTATTGTTATGTACACTCTTCCTTGAAATAGACACATCTTAATCCCCTGAAGAAGAGACCCCTGTCACGAAACATATAGAGCCTAATATCAGGGAAGGTGGACCCCCTACACCGAGAGGAGTTGGAAACAGCTGGTGTAGCCCCCATGATAATCAGATATTTAATCATCAGTAGAGGTGTCCAAACGTTTTTTTTTTGTAGACCTGTACACAATGTTAATTGTGCAAAATTTGTTATTATTGTTGATAAAAATTGTTTTGTTTTATAAATATTGGTCTGGTATGTGCCTTCAAAGTCCATATTCTTGGTTCTAAATACAACATGATATATATCAGGGACGTGCCACAGGATATTCTATACTGCACTCATGGTGCCACCCAATGGACATTCTAGATCATATGACTGACTACTAAGGTGGAAACACCTATAACTGCATATTTTAGGATGGTTGGTTTGTGTATATACCTTGAAATATATTGTAGCAATCCAGTATTGTTTCCCCAGCATTGGAGCTTTGAAATGGACTTTGTGGGTACAGCCTGGACAGCATTTATGAGCGGTATACATACATTTTGCAATGGCACTAATAGAGAGGATGGGGGCTTAATCAATGCTTTATTAAGTTAAAACTGTTACTGAAGAAAAACTAAGCTTGGATTGTCACATGGAGTTTTTTTCAACAATATACCCATGAAAATATTAGCCCTTTGGGCTTAGAGTACAAATATTTCCTACTATTAAAAATATCTCCCTGTAATTCAAAATATTTTAGGAACAGATATTAACTAAATGTAATATACAGTTAATGAACTTATTGTAGGCACAATACCAGGCGGACATGGATCTGGTGGATCAGGAGGTGATGGTAAAGCACTCACAATATGAGACAGTGAAGAATAGTGTATTATATGGCAATAAATCACAAAAACTTAAAGAATTATTTCTAGCTAAATTGAACAAGGACATTATCAGTAAGAAACAAACCAAACCAGCAAAGGATAGGGTAGCAGAAGGCTTTGCCTCTAGGTGGACTAGTCCCCTGATGGGATGAGGGGTGGGTACACGACATGGAGTTTGATTCTTCCATGTCCTCTTCTTTTTCACAGCTGCCTAAATCACAGCAAATGGCCAGTCACTACAATACCCAGATGGGACCACATAAGCAGCATCACTATGGTGGTGGCATTCACAAAAATGTAAATATGCCAAAGAGACAGCCAGATACGTTTTCTAATTTTACTGCTACGCCCTCACATCCACAAAATGGTGTCAATATGCCACGTGATGGGATTTATAGACTCTTCACGTACCACCATATTTGGGTCCTGTAGCAACACAGGCCCTACAACTTATTGGCACATGAACAAACACAAGCACAATTCACTCCACACAGCAAGGCCAACTCCAAAGCATGATGGGAGCAGAAACAATCAATAGACAAATGACCCAGTCCCAAACACTAATGCCCTATAACCATTCTCCTATTTTTGTTACCACCCAACCAGCCACCAGAAGCAAGCAGAAAGGGTACATTGGATGCCTTTGTATTCCATCCGGGCCCCCTGGGGTACCTGTGTTACCTCCAATCTGTCAGTGACAATGAATTAAGTATAATTAATCTGACACCTGATCCTCTGTCTCAGGAGGAGTTATCAGCCTTCAAATATGAGACCATCAAAATTTATAACTGTTCGCCAGAAAACTAACATATAAATATATGTCTGATACTAGTAGAACTAGATTAAGGCAAGAAAGAGAACTTACAGAAAAATGCAAGAATTTTACCATGTAGGACTTTAGGATACTGAGGGATCTTATGTTATTATTGGAAGAAAGTGGCGTCAACTCAACCACAGACAAGAATCGAGCCTTAGTGGAGCTAACTTATGCAAATACACCTTTTAAGAATAAATCACAAAATTGTCTGGATTTGACATTGAACCCCTGAATCTCGGTGTTCTTGGTGGCCATAGCGAGTGGTATCAAACATATGACCATCACTTCCAAGAGTTCTAATCTAACTCCTAGGTAACGACAAGCTTTAACTCAACTTCAAAACAGACCTAACACTGTAATTAAACCCTCAGATATTGTTTTAATGACTCAGACACACTATGAAAAAATGTGCCTTGAGATTCTAAATAACACACAATGGCACAGGTGGATCCCAGAAGATGTAACATCCCACTTCAATCTTGAAGTAAAACAACTCATTAACACAGCCTATGCAGATGCACTAATAAACGGGACACATATGAATATTTGAATGTACAATTCCCACATGAAGCAATATTCTATGCTATACCCAAAGTACACAAAAATCTTAATGCCCCACCTGGCAGATCTATAATATTAGGAATTGGATCCATTACAGAAAATGCCAGCAGAGTGGTAGATTTCTTTTTTTAATGCCCCATGTTATAAGACTTCCATCATATGTGAAGGACACATTAGATCTTCTTAAGTGAGTGCATAGCTTGTCATTCCCATCTGGTTCTATGTTCGAGCATCCCTCAAGTGCAGGGTGTTGGGGTAATACGTCCATTTTGATAAAGCAGGATAGGAGGCATTGGGAATTAAATTAGGTTTTTTTAAGCTGTTGTACTTTATTTTGACACATAATTGGTTTATGTTCATGGAAGTTCACTACCTCCAGGTACAGGGCATGGCCATGGGCACTTGTTGTGCCCCAGCTTATGCCAATCTCTACCTGGGGAGATGGTAATGTGACATATTTTTTGATGAGGATTGCAGTGAGTACCTGAACCATGCCTTGTTCTTGTTCAGGTGCATAGATGATCATTGCTTGATATGGACTAGCATAATGAATCACTTAGAAGAACTTATGAGTCGATTTAATCAAAATAGATACAACTTAAAATTTACTATGAATTGTCACATGGCGCTATTGACATAACGAATTGTCTTGCATGGCGCTATGAGAGACCAATTGGTGGTTCACTCTATAGTGTATTGAATAACGGCTGTCCAATAATATCTATGGCAAGATAGGTGGCCACAGTGCACGCTACAGCAGGGATCAAAATTTCAAGTCCTGAGCTACTAGCCAGGTCTTAAGAGTTACTCGCCATTAGTTGCCCCACCCAGCCTTTACCCTGCCTCGCCCATAATTCCGCCCCTAAACACACCCTTGTAAATTATCTCATGAAATGACACTGTTACATGTTACCCACATTACATCAGGGTCCCCAGAGTCTCCCCACATTACATTAGGGTCCCCAGAGTCCCCCCACATTACATCAGGGTCCCCTCACATTATATCAGTGTCCCCAGAGCCCCCCACATTACATTGTGGCCTCCAATGTGCCCCTAAACACTCCATCATACTTAGACCATGCACCGCATACAACCATAACCTCCTATAATCTTTCACTCACAAAACCATAACTCTACCAAGCATATCCTACCTTCTCTCCAACCCAGCAGTACCTCAAATGCTCCATACTCCAACACCCATAATAACCACATAATCCTGAACCTGACCAAACCAGCGATACATGTATGTTTACACACAGACACATGTGCACACACGCACGTACACACACACAGGCACAAACACAGAAACATGTACACACATGCACAGAGACACATGTACACACACAGACACATACATACACACACATGTGCAGACACACACACGTACAGACACACCACAGAGACACACACACAGATACTACACACACAGACACATGTACATACACACAGACACATACACACACACACATATACATACACACACATGTACATATACATACACATAGATACATACACACAGACACATGTACATACACACACATACATACACACATGTATACACACACATGTACACACATACATACACAGATACATACACACAGACACATGTACATACAAACACACATACACACACAGACACATGCACACACACACGTATGCACATACATACACAGATACATACACACACAGCCCTATAAAAAGTTGCAGTACTTCCTTACCTTTACTCACAGAGATGGGTACTGCACTCTAGGGAGAGGAAGAGAGCACAGCACACACTCCTTCCTTTGCTTTCACTGCGCTCAGCTATTGAGCAGTCTGATGGCTTCCAATGTGAGTGACAGAGCCGGCCTGAGCTCCGGGCCTGCTCAGCAAGATGGCCCTGGGGGCATACTCGCCCCCACCATAATTTCCACTCGCCAATGTGAGCAGGCGAGTGCAAATTTCAAGGCTTGCACTACAGTATTGGAGGCACAAAAGAAATGATAAAAAACTGATAAATTATATGTTGAAGACTTATATGTTATTTGTGATAGTATTTTGGGTCCCATCCATGGGGAATTAAGGGATTTTTTTTTTAATGATTGCTTACAGCAAAGAATTTATTTGCTATAAGGCAAGCATTTAGCTGAATGAAGTTGATTCATGCAGTTTTTTTTGTTCTGATTAGCTGTGATTGGCCACAGCTAATCACATGACACTGATTGGTCAAAGTGATTATATGATGGGCTGTGATTGGTCCAGCCTGTACATGTGATCACTGTGACCAATCACAGCTAGTGACACAATTGTAAACAATGGATGGCATGAAAGGAAGCCATCTATTATTTACAATTGTTATGTGACCTGCTGTGATCAGTCACAGCAGGTCACATGGTACTGCCAATGGACCATTACACATATCTGTCATTGGGTATCCTGTACACAGCCGGTGACAGATCTCGCCACAATGAGGCGCGGTCCGAGAAGGACGTCATATGATCGGCGAGAGTCCCGCTTACACATTATGCTCATTGGCTGTAACAGGTTAATGTTATGTACACTCTTCCTCGAAATAGACACATCATAAGCTCCTGTGTGCCCGCATTCTCCACAAGTTCCAGTCTAGCATCCACAGTATCTCAGCAGCATCAAAACTGCCATCTAATGACTCACTGTGCCAGTTCTCATCTTCTACTCCCTGTCACTCCAGGGAGAATTGGTCAAGAAGTGTAAGGGAAGCCACCTTGTCAGCTTTGCCAATTATGTGATTAGGACTTAACAGAACCTTTGACACTGGTAGGGAGCTTACATATATTTGCCAAAATAAGGACTAATACCTCAGTTAATGTCTCATGATTTTGATTTTTGAGAAGAATGTAAAAAGATGTGTTTAAAATGCCTAGCAGCCTTCCTACTTAATACCTGATATAGGGGATACCAAGAGGCTGGTTTACAAGAATGATACATCCATAATATAATTATCTGATTTTGTAGCTTAGTATACTACTTGACAGAACTCACAGATGCTGCCTAGTGTCACAACATGTAGGGCCTTGGGTATGTAATTATCAATTTCCCATGGTAAAACATGTTGTGCCTCACCCAGGTTGGAAGACTGCTTTGTCACCTGACTGATGTTGTGCAGCACCCCAACACAGGCCATTTGTAGGCTTATCCCACATGGAAACCTCAGAACATGGCTTTCTGCTAAAAATATTTAGAAAAAAAGACTGCCAAATATCAAGAAAAAATATTTTCTGCCACATTAGCACCATTAGGAAGGATAGATAGATAGATAGATAGATAGATAGATAGATAGATAGATAGATAGATCTGTCACATGCTTAAATTAAGCAAAGAGTTTAAAACAACAGTTATTTATAGGGTGTTCCTTACCTTCCATGTTGGATTGTACTGATAGACAGCAGAAGCCAGTAACTCTATTAAGGGTGCAATGAGCATCCTCAAACATCATTCCACCTAGGTTCACCTTGTAGGCAGGATTTATAACATCAAAATCTACCTGCAGAAACATAACAAATAAGTATCATGACAACACTCAAACCTGTTAAACAAGAGTATTGCTGAGTATTCATGCACAGAATATAAAATAACGGCTAATTAGTACTTGTAGTAGTTAAATTGGAGATGGACTCACCCATGTCTACCGACAATAAGGTGATGTTCACAGAACCTATATAAGTCTAAGCACAACAGAATATGTGTGAGAACTCAAAGGGGTTTTCCACCAAAGGAGGTTCCAAAGTGAACAACTGTGGTGATGTAAACAAACTAAACTTTATTGATTACAAATACATTGTAAAATCATGGTAAGTGTCAAAAAGAAACACTTCCAACAAAACACCATTAAAAACACAAATGACAATGTTCTCAGATGCAATGAAAATCCTAGCCCAAGCTCACAAGCACACACCTCCACGCATACAGATGTCTAGTGGGGAAGGACACATAAGCCTGGCAAGAACCTGGCAATAGCTGATTGGGATGATCAGGCTTTTATTGGGCTGATATGTGTCATAGTTTCCATCCTCCACCAGATGCCGCCATTATGTTAGGTTAACATCACCATAGCATAATAGTGCAAGCAACAATTTAAAAAGGATGAGTGCAATTTAGTCCTTACAAGTGGAAACTTCCATTTAAAGTGACATATGGTACTGATTCAATCATCCCACAATATAATAAATAGGTTGGTGAACAGTCAAAGGGGAAGTACCAAGAACTTTACATATGCCATACACATTTGGTGACTTAATAGTGTTATATGCTAAAATCCCTTCACCTTGAGGCCATCTGGTCTCCCATTATGGAAGATCGCAAAGTGCTCTGCTATGGAACTTTTGTCCTGTCTACTCTTGGCATTCCTGATACTGCCTAGATGTTCCCCAATGCAGAATTGTATTTGGCGTTTTATTTTGCCAACGTAAAGCTTCTTAAATGGACATTCCAAAATATAAAGGACCCTTGCTGTTCCACAGTTGAACTGTTTAATGTAGTATATATTCTGTCGATCTGCATCAGTAAATTTATTGGTTTTGTCAACAAATTTACAAATTTGGCAACCTCTGCATGGGAACATACCTTTCATGCGGGGTAAATCTAGAGGGTGCATGTATAAATTCTGATTGAACTAATTCACCCCTTAGGTTTCTTGCCCTCTTTACTACCAATCGAGATCTTGGGCCAACAATCCCAGATGCCTCTGATGAACGCGTTAGAATGTGAGAGTGTTTTGATAGAACTTCATGTACTTCCTCCCACTGGTCACCATAGCGGGTATTAAGTATCCCTGGGTTCAGTTGTACATGGGCCTCACCTCTCTCCTGAGGTACCAGAAACTCCATGCACATCTACACTGAAACCTTTCTTCTAGATCTTTTCATTACCTTATGAGGGTATCCCTGAATTTTTTATATAGATCCCCAATGTCTGTAATCATCATCACAGGAGCAGTTCCTGCTTATGCGCTGATACTGCCCTGTGGGTATACCCTTTATAAGTGACTTTGGGTAATGCCTGGTGGCAAGTAAGAGGATATTTGCTGCAAGGGAATTTCCCTCAGGTCAAAATTGTATGTCAACCTGATATTTCTATTGTTGATATTTAGGTCGGCCAGGAACGTCTGTAAGTCACTAACTGTACCACACCAGAGAACAAAAATATCATCAATGTACCTCAGCCATACTCTATGGATGATGTACATTGAGGAGCAGTAAACAGTGTCCTCCTCCCACCATCCATGATGTAGGCATGCGTATGCTGGGGCCCAGAGTGCTCCCATAGAGGGACCCCTAAGTTGTCTATAACTTGCTCCCAGAAATTGAAAATAGTTATTATTCAATGCAAAGTTCAGAAGATCAAGTAAAAATTAATTTTGGGCACCCATGGATGGATATTTTGCTTACAAGAAGTGCTTCATAGCAGTTAGACCCCACAAGTGGGGTATAGAGGTGTACAGGGACACAATGTCGATTCCAACAAGTATAGCATCACTCTGGACCTCCATCTCCTCAAATCTCCAGGGGACATCTTTTGTATCCTATACATACACTGGAAGGGATGTCACCATATATTTATTCAAGACATCTAAATATTTGCCAATAAGCTCCAGAGGCCCCTTGATGGCTGATATAATTGGTCTACCTGGGGGATTATGCAGATTCTTGTGTATTTTTGGGATTATGTGCATGGTGGGAGTATTGTACTCTTCCACCCAAAAATATTCCTTTTTGGTAACAAGACCTGCTACTTAGGCCAAAAACATGTTTATGATTAAGGGAGGGAACTACCATCAGGAACTGATTATTTTGTATCTTTATATATGAAATCTGGTCCTCCAGTTGACCTCTCCCACTCATAAGCCTCTGCCGACAGAAGGACAACATTACCCTCCTTGTCACTGAGCTTTATCACCAAATTAGGTGCATCTGTTAATTATTTATAGGCCCATCTCTGTACAAGATTAGCAGTTCATATTGTCCCACAGTTTATCTTAGCAAGGTCTTCCTAGACCAGGTCAAGAAACACCCCAATCCAGCGATTTTTTTTCCCCCTGAACTGGGGCATGTTAGTAGATTTTATTGCTAAGTTCCACCTGCCTTTTGTCTAGACCCAGTAATGCTCCCATCTCTTCACATTCATTTGGGCTGTCCTCCATTAGCAAGATAAGGTATAGGATTGCCTGCTCATTATACTCATCCAATTGAGGGCCAGCTCGCTCATTGTTGGTAGTTTTACCAGAATGGACTAGTCTTGGGTATACCTTCCTTAAGAAGAGGATGATATCCTTATATACTTCAAATGGGTTCATCCTGCCTACAGGGAAAAAAAGATAGGCCCTCTGAAGAAGCTGAATGTATCTCTCTTTAAGATCAAATTCTGAGAGATTGATTACCCTCATATCACACAATTTCCCGCTCGAGGGGTCACTCCTCCCCCCGGGGACACCTCATTACCAACTCTGGCTCCTGGTTCTGGATTTCACTTGGTTCCCCAGTGTAGCGTCCTCTCCCTCCTCTTCCTCTCCCAACATTTTGCCTTTGTTTTTAATGATGATATTAATATCCCCCTGATAGTGGGCGTTCCATCCGTTTGAGGAATATCCTATTCTGAAAAAATGACTGATTTTGATTCTTCTGCCTCAAACTCTGAGGAGGCAATTTCTCCCCGTGAGGGGGTACGTGACTGGAACCGACGCTGCCTAAATCTACTGTATCCCCGATTGTTAGTTAAATCGAAGATTTCACCGCTCGCCCAATTATGCAAGTCACGCTGGAACTTGGATTGTTTGGGCTGATGGAGATTCTTCAGAATTTTGTCTGTTTCCTTTTTAGGCAGTTCATTGTGTCTCCCAATTTCTGGCTCCGCTAGTATGGTGAGCAGTGAATGCACACTCTCTGTGATATAATCCACTGTAATAAGTGTGTGTCTGCTCTGAGGGGAGATTCACATAGGAGCCCATATTG